ACTTCGTTCAGCCCGAGGTAGACCCCTCCAGGTAATTGCGAACGCCTCCTCCACGTCCAAATTTCGGTGTGTGTGCGCCGCATTTTCATTAAGAGACCCCGCATAGTTCTTCTTTCTCACTGAGAAACCGCCCAACATGGCGGACTCCAAGCCGCCCACGCCTCCAGAGGTATACACACTCCATCCCCATCATCACGAACATCACATCGCTAACACCTTCCAGGCAACCCCTCCCGTACCCTCAGCCACGACCCCTCCCTCAAAACCAACTCCCACCTCTACGACAACCACCGCCGCCCCCGGCCCCTCCGTCGCCGAAGCCTACAAAGCCCCGAAACCGAACCCCGTCTGGCAGATGCTCGGCATGCGCGGCCCGCCCAAACGCCTGCCCTCCCGCAACTGGATGATCTTCCTCTCCCTCACAGCCGCCTTCTCCAGCGCCGTCATCTACGACAAGCGCGAGAAGAAGCGCGCCACCGCCCGCTGGGCCCGCGCCGTCGCCCCCCTCGCCGCCGAACCCATCGCCAACCCCTCCCAGCTGCCCCGCCGCCTCACCGTCCTCATCGAGGCGCCCCCCGGCGACGGCCTGCGCGTCGCCCAGGACCACTTCCTCGAGTACGTCAAGCCCATCCTCGCCGCCTCGGGGCTCGACTGGGAGTTCGTCCAGGGCCGCCAGCAGGGCGACGTCCGCGCCGCCGTCGCAGAGAAGATTCGCCGCAGGCGCTCCCGCGAGGAGCGCCCGGACGTCGAGCTGCTCCCGACCGAGGAGAACCTCCGCGACGCCATGCGCCAGAAGAACGGCGTGCCCGAGTACGACGGCCCCGGCGGCGACATCGTCATCGGCCGCCACGCGTGGAAGGAGTACATCCGCGGCCTGCACGAGGGCTGGCTCGGGCCCCTCGACCCGCCGCCGAAGCCCGAGGAGGAGAAGGCCCCCAAACCCGACGACACAACCGCCGCCGCTACCACCGACGGCGAGACGCCCAAGAAAGAGGAGGAGCACCCAAAGCCAGAAGAAGAGGAAAAGAAACCCGCACGCCCGCCTCAACCCATCCCCCGCAACACTACCGCAGACTATCAAGCCGCCCACCTGCCCCCCTCCCTCCCCGCCGAGTTCTCTCCCTCAGAACCCATCCCCTTCCCCCACCTCCTCGGCTTCTCCGGCACCTTCACCCGCCTGGGCCGCTACCTCAACCGCCGCCGCCTCGCCGACGACATAGGCCGCCAGGTCGCCGCCGTCTGCTTCGCCCACGCGCGCGAGTACCGCCCCACCAGCGACCCCGAGTGCCCCTACGAGCAGCAGGCGGCCCTCGCGCACGAGGAGCGCGACTGGGTCAAGAGCGCGTACAAGAAGCCCGAAGACGCCCGCGATGACGAGGAGCGCGCCGAGCTCTCCACCGAGCGCATCTGGACGTCGCCCGTCGTCGTCGACCCGCGCATCGCCGAGCGCATGCGCCGCTTCGAGATCGCGCCCGAGGTCGAGGAGCGCGCGCGCACGATCGAGGTGCCCGAGACAGAGGTTGAGGGCTGGATCAAGAGCAACCTGAGGGCGTTGGGCATCTGGACGTGGGAGACCGTCCGGCCCGCCGAGAGGAAGGGCCCGAATGTGGGAAACGTTGATGACGAGTGAAAGATCTGTTTTGCGTGCATTGTCTCGCGGCCAATATAGAGTAAGGTGTGCCTAGGAGTATCAAAAAGGTTGTACACTATCCCCCGGCGGTCGGGGCGTATTTTCTGTAATTCTACTGCATGGAAAAAATAGGCGCGCGGGAGGCATTATGATAGATATCGGCTCAGCCAAGCCTCCGCTTGATGAAAATTCCAATGTACACTCCTCTTCATCTTCATCTCTCTTCCCTCGTCTGAGATGTCCGAGTATCACTCATCATCCGAGTCCGACCCGTACGCAACCAGGCCCATCTTAGGCTTCACCGGCGCCGGCACAGGTGCACTCGCTTTCACCTTCTCAACCTCCTTCGCCTTCTCATCCTCCTTCCCTTCACTCTTCCTCCCCCCATCCCCCTCACCCTTCTTCTCCTCCCCAGCCTTCTTCACCCCGAACCCGACCCTCTCCCGCCGCCTCCTCTTCCTCCCAACAGCCCACTCCTCCTCCCCGCCCCCTTCTCCCTCATCCCCTCCCTTCTCACCAGCGCCGCCGTCTCCGTCCGCAGCATCACCATCAGCAGGCCTCTTCCCCAGCTGCGCCCTCCGGAACGCAGCGAGCCCCTCCTCCGTCTCCCGGCGCACCCGCTCCTCCTCCGCGCGCTTCGCCTCCCGCACCTCGTCCAGGAACTCAATCTCGTCGTCGTCGAGCGGCCTGAACTGGTTCTTGATCTTGTTCGCCTCCTCAAAGGCGGCCTGTTTCGCGGCTGTAACCAGTGCATCGTCAGTCCAGTCTCATCCTCCATTCCCTCCTCGGTTCAAATCTCATGAACAAGCAATCATGGCGAAAAAGCCTAGAATGGAAATGAGGAGCAAAGAAGACTGGAGACAGAGGAAACTCACCTTTATTCGCCTGCAACACATCATACAAACTCCTCTCCCCGCCCTCCACCGCCTTCACCCTCGCCTCCTCCCTCCTCTTCCTCTCCGCATCAAGCTCCTTCTGCACGGCCTCCCACTCGGCATTCTTCCTCGTCTGCCCCGCATCGCCAGAACCCGTTGTCGAAGTCACCGCCTTGCTCTCGCCCTCAGCGGCGGCAACAGCCTCGCCAGTCTCGGCGTTAATCGCCCCCGCCGACACGAATCGCGACATAATCCCCTCTTTCCCCCAGTTTCTCTAGCGAACCAAGCGCGAGACAAACAGTGCTTTTGGTGCAGCCCGAAAGTATATCTCAAGACTCGGTCGCTGACGTCGTGTTGTGAACGACGGTCAACCAGCACCGGGTGTTTGAAGGGTCGTAAGGGGAAACGACTTTTCGGGATGCCCCGAGCAACAGGATCGTGAGAAATCGGCAGAAGAGAAAACAGCTTGTGCAAACAAGAAAAACTGTGTTTTTCGATGGCACAGCGGTTTGAATGGCTGACGAATGACTTCGTTGATGGTTTCGTGGTGTTTACGATGGATCTTGAAAGCCCCAGGCTAGCTGGTAGGAGAAAGTGAAGAGAGACGTTGGGAGATTGACGAATCAGAGTATCCGTCTTCATCCGTCCCCACTTTTGGCTCCCGTCTTCCAACGGCAGCCACTTTCTCAGTCAACTTCAGTGTTCACTTGATCCGAAAGGCCTCACTTAGATTTCACTCTCACGACGTTCAGGATTCAAATGGGCTGATTTCTCTTCACCATCGCTTCGTCACGTTCACTTTGTATTTAAATGGTGTTTGCAGTGGTTCAAGTTTTTGTGTATTGATCTGTTTGTCTAGGACTGCGTCTTCCAGTAGTATGGGTCGTGCCCATGCGTCGGTGCTTCTTGCACGCGTTTTGTTATCCTTGCTTTTCCTTCCAATCTTTTCCCTCGTGTTCATATCCAAACCATTTTCCATCGTGTCGACAGCTTACACTTGGCGTGGGAGCGAGGACACGCTCGTGTGTCGCCCAAGTCGGCCGACGCTGCACACGTGGTGGAAGGTCCGTTGCCAGTCCCGTTGGCTTTTTTCTCCGAAACCCCAAGTCATACAGACCTTGTAAAAAAAAAAAAAAAAAAAAAAAAAAAAAAACCCGCAATCCCAATGGCTATACGTGCAAGAACGAGCCCGCATTATCTGCCACCCTTCTGATAATTCATACCCCGTAGCCATAACGCTCTCTAGTGAATGCCAAATTGACACGAAGAGAAACTAAGAATAAGAGACGTCTAAGAATGTCATAAACAGAGGACGGCGGAGGTTCTGCAGCGTCTCAGTTTCTCGTCCAGTCTGGAACGAGAAGAGCGTACCGATTGCCAACCGTCCAAAAAGTGCCGCGTAACAAAATAAAAGAAAAATAACTCCCAAAAAAAAAAGCGAGGAAAAAACCTGCCGGGGGATGTCCCCTCCGTTTTGACCTGCAGCGCAATGCAGAACACCTCTCCATGTGAGTCCCATTTTTTTTCGTTCTTGCAAACAAACGACTGCCCATGGCTAGCCGAAAAATCAAACATGATCCATATGTACCTCCACTGCATGCAACTTGTCTTTTTTGACGCGGTAGCGCAAAGGGCATTGAACAAAGCCAGGCGTCACCTCAGACTCAGATGACGTGGACGACCGACTCCGGTAGACCATGCGCCAACCGAGAGTAACCCGGTGAGTGCCAGTATGAGAGAATTACAAGAAAACAATACAATCTTCTTCCACGGACCACACAAAGGAAAGTGGAAGCAAACGAGTGAATATTGTCGGTGCTTCGCGAGTCCATCCCGAGGATGTAAGCTATGAGCTACGGTGGGACGCCAGAAAGTCGAGGGTGTCCAGTACTAGCATCATCTCGGCACATCGGGAGGTTTCGTTGTCGGTGGGTTTCGTTGTCGGTGGCGATCGCTGGTTCTGTGCCGTCGAACCGGTCGGAAAAGAATCGGATCGTCGGATGAGACCACCTCCTACCACATAACCCATACGGATAGCCACAAAATCTATCGTCCAAACTCCGGGGGAATCGCAGGGGTTGACCGTAAAACGCCAATGATGAATTTTATCCGTATACCAAGGGTAACACAAAGAATTAAAGAAATATGTCATTAGGGGCCGCGGCCGCAAAATCGTGAACATCCACCTCCGACACGTCAGAACCAGGCATCAGAACACCCGGCAGCCGGGGCTGTATGGTGGGTCGGAGGTGTCGAACCGCGCCCGAGTCGTCATGGTCGAACTCCGAGGTGAGAACCATCGGGTCAAGTGACCGCTTCTTTCGGTTTTCTCGTCGTGAGAGGGTATCTGAAGAATGCAAATGTATCGTCATGCCGAAAAAAAAAAAGAACAAAAGCCTGCGTCTCCGGTGACGCTAGACCTCCCAAACTTTTCCGATAACAAAATTCCTGCCAATTTCATAGACGGTTGTGTCCGTCCAGTATCGCCGGTAGGCTCAGCCCATGACGGGCTGGCCGAAGCCGGGGTGCGCGAAGTAGCCGGGCGGCTTCACAGCAGGTCCGACGCAGTTGGCGCAATTGCACTCAGCAACACCATGCTCCCACATGGTTTGGTTGTAGCCGTAGTGGCCCGAGTAAGTCTGGTTGTGACGGTTGTAGTAGTTGTGAGAGGGCTGCTGGTAGCGACCGTTCCACTGGGCATTAGCGGCCGCCTGAGAGAACCACTCGTTGTATCGGGCGTTGGCCGACGTGGCAGAGTTGATGTACTCGGGTGTGCCGTAGCCCGAGTCGGGGGGGGTGAGCGGTGCCGCCTGCCAGTTCCAGTTGTAGGCCTGCTGGTGGGCAATCTCGTTGCGCTTGATGGCTTCGTAGCGCTCGTATTCAGCTGCCTGCTGCTGAACGAAGTGGTTGTAAGCGGTGCGACCGCTGTATCTGTTGATGCTGGTGTCGATGGCAGGGACAAGTCTCTCGCGGTTGGCGCGAGCTGTGGCCTGGTCCTTGAGGACCTTCCACTCGTCCCAGCTGGTGAGCCAAGCCTTGTAGTCCTCGCTGTAGTCCAAGTTGACGTAGAGACGCCAGCCAGACTGCTCCAGCCACTCATGTTCCAGAGCGTTGAGCTCGGCGACGGGAATGCCGCTCACCTCAGACCAGGAGCGGTTCTGGAAGGTGTTGTCGTCCAGAAACTTGCTGCCAAGCAGAAGCGAGACTGTCAACATGCGCCAGACCTGACCCTCAGGAACCGTGTAGGCAGGGTTGTTCTGCTTGAGGGTGTTGACGCGCTTCGCAAGGTAGTTCATGCCAAGGAGAATGGTGCTCTTGGGCAGACGCGTCGAAGAGAGGATCTGCGAAACGAACTTGCGGAAGGGGGACGTGACGGCGGTGCTCGACAGAGGCATGACGACACGGGTGGCCATCTCGGCAACGAACTCGGCCATGTGGTCAACCTCGTAGTCGAGGACAGCGCAGACGCCTCCGGGCATGATGGCGGTATTGAGAGGGAGTCCGACGAAGATCGTGGAATGACCTTTGTCGGGAAGGAAGTTGCTCGAGGCACCTGGATGGGAGACACTAAGCAACGATGGGCTGGGCCGCAGTGTGCTGATGGTGATGTCCAAGGCCGTGGAATCGAGACGGTGAGAGAGGGTTGGAAGAGACGCTAGCCCTTAGTAACCGCGAATAGCCATCAAGGGTTTCGTGTCGGTCGACTTCGTGGAGCGGATGTCAAGCGGAGGAGTCGGACGAGAAAACTAGGTGAGTCGTGATTCGGTGACCGATGACGGCTCGATGACCCAGGAAGAATAAGTATCTTCGTGGGGATGGATACTGGTGATGGCTGACTCGGAAAAAGGATGCTTTAACTGAGGTTGATCGTCGGGGCGTCAGGAATCCAAGAGCCGCGAGACACCGGATGAAGAAAGTCGGGCAATAGGAAGAAGGAAAGCCGCAGTACTGTCTGGGTTGGTGAATGTCAGCGAGAGCGTCGATACAGAATAAAAACTTTGACAGTCTGTGCCTGAGTCTGATACACAAGCTTCGTCGAATGATGCGTCAAGTAGTGGCGGGCCGGTGTTGGAGTGCGGGAGTGTTGGGAGGCGACTTGGGCGACTGTCCCAGTGAAGGGTGGCCCCTGTGGGAAACAAATGCAGCCGATGTCATGCAACCCCAGCACATTTGGCGTTCGGAAAGCGTCGAGCCCAGCTCAGGTTTGGCATTTGATGGAAAGCTTGGGCGATTGGAAAGGTTGGGCGAGTGAATGCTGAAGAGAGTGTCCCAGCCAACCTGCCGGTGTCGCGTACGGTCTTGTTTGGTCGGATCGGGCGTCGAGCATCGAGCATAGGACGAAGGTCGTGTACCAGACTGTCGGCGAAGGGCGGGCGGCGACGAGATGATGATATTCGAATGATGGGAAAGTCGGGGCTTACCTTGAAGAAAGGGAATGTCGGACGGAGTTCGCGATGCCAAAAAGACGGCGTTGGCGGACGATCTTGTTGAGTAGAAAACACGGATTTGGTGGTCGATGTTTTGATAGCTCAAAGTCGAACTCGTATAAACGAACCACTCGACCAAGTTAGGGCGGGCGGAAGTGACAACGGATGTCGTTCGGCGGCAACAGATCGCGAAGAGGGAGAGAGACGAGAACCTGAATCCTGGGTGTCGACGACTCGAGGGGGGGAATTCGTGAGAGTCGAGGACGGTGTATTTCGTCGTGATACGGCGGATTCGAGGGTTTTGGGGGATTGGGAGAGGGGAGGGTTGGGGGAGGGGAGGAAAGAAAAAAGACGCGAGGAAGAAAATCGAGGAGTGAAATGGATGGGACGGGTCGGGTTGGGATGGATGGAGTTGGGGAGGATGGGGACGGTGGATGGGGGTGAGGATGGTAGAAGAGTGGAGCGAGGAATGATGGCGGCGTGCGTGTGAATGGAGGCGAGAGGGCGAAGCCAGCAGCAGCCGACACTGAACAGACCAGACCAGTGTGTGGGAGCTTGGGAAGAGCAGTAGGAGCAGGACCCGAGGAGGAAAGGTACGGACGGGGACGGGGGACTGGGACTGGGGACGGGGAGACGACCAGGGGGGGTGGGTGGTCACTGGTCACCTCAGTCAGTCGGTATTCGTAGGTACACAGAGGGGACAGTGGAAGCCAAGGTGGTGCTAACGAAGGGCAAGGTATCCGCCCAGCAAGAGACAGAGAGAGAGAGAGAGAGAGAGGAAGGGAGACCGGGAAAGAGAGAGGTGTGAGGAGGAGGTACGGCGCACACTGCCCGGAGCAGCAGATGAAATCCAGTCCGCGCCTGCCTCAATTGGTGGTGGTGGTGGTGGTGGGTGGAGGAGGGTGGTCGGGTCGAGAGGGTTGGCAGGGTTAGCAGGGGGGAAGGGGAGGCACCGCTGCCCAGCACATTCGGAGTACATGTTTTTGCCACCAAGATTTCGCAAGAAGAACAGGTACACAAAAGGTACCCGTTCTCGCAACTGCAATGTTCTGCAGCCTGAGCCTCTGAGTTGCGGTGCCCGCCTGCAGGCAGGTACCGCCGTACCGCGCCAGACACGGCAAGAGACCGACAGGCAGGGCAGGCAGGGCAGGACAGCAGCAGAACCAGGCACACCAGGACAGCCCGACAGCAAAAGTGGATGCCATTAAAATGGCCAGGCACCGGCACTGGCTGCGGTGATTGACTGGTAAATGCGAATGGGGACGCCAGCACTGTCGAGCAGGAGTACTCTGTATCCGTGTCCAAGAAAGAAAAGAAGGCAACAAAAATATCTCCACGGTCTACGGATATGGATGGACAGGACACGTCGTAGCATCGATCATCTCCACGGCCCATGGACAGCTAGCTAGCTATCCCTCATGCGTGGTACATCTCAACCAGAGTTTGCAAGGCGCGTCGTGTCTGCAGCGCAATCATCCATCCATATCAAGACTGACCTCTCGACGTCTCGCCAAAGCTTCCTCCCAGATGAGTGGTGGTTGCTGGCAGCGCTGACGCTGCTGGCATCAGGCTAGGCCTGGCCTTTGAGTCGAGGGACCAGACGACCAGCAGCCCCCCCTGGCAGCAAAGCAGCATCGGCGTCAGTGACCAGCAGCAAGAGGCCAAAAAAAAAAAAAAAAAAATGGGTGGAACCTTCCTGCCCTGGATCAAGTGTGGAGACGACAGGGTGACTGCACCGACACTGGAGCGAGTGTGAGGACTGAGGAGGGAGTGCGCCTGGTCAAAACTAAAAAGGCGAAGGAGCGTGGCAGATGGCGCCGGTACGTACTCTGTTCGCGACCCGCGACCCCGTTTTAGGACACAGGAACCCCCGTCGGCATCCAGATTGGACGGCACGGTGGACACTTGCTCACACACTCTTCGACACCGCTGGAAACCGGGACTTCTGGATGGCTGACAGCCGGCCCTCATTGGTTTATGCCCTAGGCCCTAGGTGGTGTTCGTACTCTGCTGGCTTGCCTGGCTCCGAGATGGACTCATGCGTCCTGTGTTTGTGTGTGTGCGTGTGTGTGTGTGGATTGCGTATCCGTACTTTACTCAACCTAGGCAGGTGGTCGTAGGCAGGTGGTGGATGGACCGTCAACTCCTAAGAGCCTGAGGCATTTCGCTCGATTTAACTCGTACACATGGCTTCCTCGTTTGGCTGCTGCACTCTCAGTCAATCACTCAACCGGCGTGTGAGGTGAGTATTCGTAACCTGACCTGGCCTGAAGGTTCAAGGGGGAGGGGAGGGAAGCACCGGGGCCACGTCCAGGGAGGCAGTCGCATGCGGAAAGTAACATCCCACTAGAAGGGAAGGGGGGTCAGGCAGGAAGGCGGAAGACGGAAGGAAGCAAGCAGCAGCAGCAGCAGCAGGAAGCACGCAGCACCACCTGCTCCTGCTCCTGCTCATGCCCGGACAGCTGCTGCGTCAGGAAGGAACCAGCGCTGTTCCTGCCCTATCCTCCTGCCAATCCTTCATTGTGTGAGGTGCCTGCCCTGCCCGTCCCTCCAATCACAGCCGCCCAGGTGGATCTATCCGCCTGCTTCACTCCAAACTCCAAGGCACTTTAAAGGCAAAAGCCCGTGGTGTGTCTCTCATTGGCCGGGTGTCTGCCGAGTAAAACCCACGCTAAAACACGACCACAACACAACAAAAACACACTGCGAGAGCAGACGAAGCACCGGAGAATCAATACCGACGCAACCCAGTCACAGCAGCCTCCCAACGTCCACACTGCTGACTGAGGTGTGAGCCTGTGACGATTCACTGCGGCAGCGGCACGGATACACTACGCTACCGCTCGCCACCCTACCTACCTGGCCTACCACCTTTGACCACCTTTGCCTGGAACCCAACCACACCCGCGACAGGTCTCGCACCGCACCGCACCGCACCGCCTGCGATTCTGCCAGACCCGTGTGTGTGTATGTACCCAGAGCAACCCCGAGGGCGGACGACAAATATAGGGCCCTCCATGGAGACCGAGACCATGTTGTGACGCATCTTTCCACGTCGGCTTGGGAAAATATGACAACCAGGCAACAAAAACAGAATGCAGGAGACAAGACACCTGTCCAGATTAACTTACATCACAGACACACAGATACGTGACAACGCCGAATTCGAAAAATCTTCAACTCCATACTCCAGTCGCCAACGTCAATAGTCTGCCGACCACGCTTCGTGAATCGTGCCGATTCGTCTCGACTTGCAGCCTGCCATCTAACGGTACTCGCTTACACACCCTGGGCGTGATGGTCAACTCCCCTCGCTCGTTGTATGCCGTCCGCCAAAAAAGCTAGCAAGTCATCCGGCTCCCAGAAAATCCAACAGAGGAGGGGGGGAAAATCGTTAATGGCGGTTCAGCTTTAGCGCGCCTTCGTGATGGGATGACCCAGTCTTCCGAGGCTTCTAGATGTACTGGAGTGTATTGGGCTAGCCTTGTGCAATTTGTGCCCGGCGCCTGTACCTTGCATACGCTCCAAGGAGGCTGGGTTGTCGCGGGTAGAGCAGGTACTCATACTGCCCCTGCGCGATAACGCAACCTCTGCGATACTTTCCAGAGAATCTGCACTGCGATGTGCCTTTCCTCTCAACCGCTGTGAGTCCGTGCTGCTCGAGTCTGGTCACCGCCTGCCTCTGTCTCCGACTCCAGCTAATGATTCAAGATACCCATCATATCCGGGGACGGTCCAAGGCAAACCCTAGCCCAAACCACAGACGGCGGCCCCCAACCCAGTCAAGACTGACGGCGAAAGCGACTCCCAGTCTCCCACTCTCACCTGCGAATGCTTTACGCCGCTGCTGGGCCACCCACACTGACAGACTCAGTGTCTGCTTATTTCGGGGCCGGACGAATGGCAGATCGTATCTTGTCGCCCACTGCCTGTAATCCCAACTGCAAAGGGCAAGGGACAGTCTGTGCCAGTGGACTGTGCCCATCATCCGATCTGCTGGGTGATCGCTGCGGCCCAAGTAAACCCAGTCACCCAACTCCCAGGCTATGACGACGGGATGCACTCAGCGAGCCTAGCCAGCATCCACTCACCGTCACCGTACCGCCGTTGTGCAGCTCAGTATTACGGGTACGGGCACCCTCGAGAACTGAACTTTGGCCTCACGTTCAGTCTACTGCTGTCTTCTTCGCAGAAGCGGAGTGACATAGTGCCATGGACGGATGATCACTGCGGCATTTGAAGCCTCCAGAACCATCCATGGATGTTCCTGACCCCGTACCGGTGTGTCTAGACTTTTTGATGTGCAGTTATTGGAGCAAATGTGTCTCTTCCATTGCTCCTTGCTCTGCTAGTATCTCCAGACTCCGACGACTGACAGCCACTACGGTACGTCAGTGTGTGTCGTTTCGCCTCATCAAGACGACGCACCACTATTACCGTCTTAAACCTCCGGTACGGCGACCCTGCCCGTCATTGACCGACCCTTGGCTCAGGGCTCAGGGAGCTCGGCAGCCAATGTTGGCTAGGCTGCTTCGAGCCTGGTCTGCAGAGAAACCCTCTGAGCCAGAGGCGGCACAACCCAATTTTCCAATTTCATTACAGGCGAGACCAAAGCCCATTCCTGTTCGTCGTCACCCTCGGATAAAATAAAATAATATTATGGATTCGTCGAACAGGTCTAGCCAAACGCGGCATTTTGGCACATTTGTTGTTCCCGCAGCAGGGCCCAGCAAGCTGCAAAACAAATGTACGATTTCATGTCCTGTCAACCTGGAGGAGATTGCAGCGGAGGAAGAGAATTACCGCACGCTCCACCTCCCACGGCACCGTGCTTGCCTACAGTGTCAAGCAAATGCTTTCCAGCCGCTGGCGTCTCTGCATGCACACTCAGGGGGTCAGTCGGCAGCGGAACGATCCACCGGCCAAACATGACTGGCACACAGAGAACACTGGCAGACTTGGATGGCTTCCAGCCCCAGACCACACACGCGCGCAGGCACACACACTCTCTTTTCAAGCACTCATACACACACAACACACGCACCGCAGAGACCCGACGACCTACCAAGCTGCTGACACACGCACAAAACACTCAGCTGAGTGCGTGCCAGGTTTCTCTAAGCTTCTCCAAGCCCTGAAGTCGCTGCTGCGGATTCATCTCTGGCCAAGGCGCAGACCCGGTCTCGCGGCTCAGCGTTCCCGGCCCCGAAAGGGAGCCGGTAGGGAGGAATATTGCTTCTACCTCAGCTTCTCAGGCATCCAAAGCCTCAGCATTGAAGACGTTGCCTGTTTTCTCAAAGCGAACACAGATGTTGGTCTCAGCCTGCCGATTGGCCGTGGTCACGCCGGACATCTTCCTCCCTTTGATACCGATATGATACTGCCACAGCGTGTATCCGTCTCGAACTCGTGTTCTGCAAGTTCGTCATATCATCAGGAACCATTTGCCCTGTGAGTCCTGTCGTAATTTCAGCAAAAGCAGGGCGTAACGCCATGTCTTTTTTTTTTGCTGCGGTCCAGGTCAATGCAGGGGACTCTCAATATCGACGAGTACAGCCCCAGCAGTGGGCAACAAGTGATCCGCCCGGCCAACCCGTTGCCTCGAGGAAGCAGGTCGCGCTGGGACGCAGATGCGAGCTGTCTTTCTTTCAGGGATGGGAAAGGCTGGGAGCTGGAGCATCCGTGCCACCGCAGTTCTTGCACCGGGAGTCGCCTGGCGTCCTTGACTTTTGACTCCCTGAGCCAACGCATCCCAGAAGTCTTCGGGGAGAAATCACGGTGCAGGCTAAGGCCATGGCGACCGTTGTCAAGCTGCGAACCTCGCCAGGCCTTTGACGCGCTAGCAGAATCACGTGTCTCTCCAGTCCACGCTCTTCGACACCGCAAAGGCATGGCAGGCACTTGTATGAATGGAATAGCTTGGGCAGCGGTGTTGCATCGACTGAGAATCAAGCAGCCGTCGTCATGACAATATGAGCCAGCATTCAACCTGCCTGCGCTGGCAGACTGGCATTCTTTCTGCATGGATGCAAGGGCTTCATTAGTCGACGCGATACCTAACGGCGAGGCATCGAGGCATCGAGGCATCGAGGCATCGACATCGAAATGAGAAATCCCACCCTGGTTACCGTTGACGACACTGCCGCCGCCCCAGGAATCAACAGACCGGGCTTTCTGACAACTGAAATGCGGGTGCCCTGATTGG